CACCTACTTCCATAATTCCCAGATAGCACAAGTGTCGGCAACTGCATCAACATGTAGTCTAGGTAGAAGTGGAGCTTTTCTATTATTGGCAAATTACCATAATTTCCAGTTTGTACCCAGCATACCCTATATGCATATCAGGGCAAGCACACACGCCAGTACGGCTAGCAAAAATATAGCTTAATGTTTATTCATTAAACATCAGCAAACATCAAAAGAGATAACTGGCAAAACATGACAAAAAGGAGGTAAAAGCAGGGAGAGAGGCATAAATGGACAAGAATTTACATTTTCTCTCTCTCTCCTCAAAAAGGGCAGAGAATTTTCCAGAGCCAACAGAAACAGTACAGTGGGTAATTAGCATGGACAGCCCCCAAAGGAGTGACCTTTGGTTATTCCAGCCTTAATCCTTTTATGTTTGTAACAGCAACAGAATAGAGATGGAAAGTAGGACACCTGGTGCTCCCTCCTCTATTCTGCACCGTGAAGGAAACAATTTGGTGGATGGGGATAACATATCTTCTCCTATCTATTTCTTTTAAAAGATCTAACTTTTACTTTGACTTCTGGGGGAGGTATGGTGAACTGAAGTCAGCTCTGCAAAAGCAGAGCTGACAACTGCAGCAAACACCAAGGAACCAGTAAGTAGACTGGTTTCTTGGAACCTCTCTGGATATGGAGAAGATGGGAGATCACCCACATTTCCTTCAGACTGCTGCTCCTTACAAAGAGACTGCAGGACAGCAGTTTTCTGTGAGTTTGAGTGCTGGGAAATGGGATCAGCCATCTTGTTCACAACCATGGTAGAGACTTTTAAAGGACACTAAGTTCACAAACCTCACTTTTCTAATCACTTTTGGAAATTGCCTATAAACTATCTTAAAGCTATTAGAGATCTTCAGAATGACAAGTTTGAAAAATCTTCATCAGGTGAATTTGTCTTCAACTTTGAGTAAAAGAAAAATTAATTACAAGCTTAAGAAATTAAAGAATTTGAAGTAAACAGCAAAAAGCTAAATAAGATTTTCATCTAAGAAAATTATAAATGGATTAAGGGTCCATATAAATTTGGAATATTGACTTTTACTATAAGATTTTAGAATTAATTATAAAACATAAACAACTTATTATGGGAAACAGACTTATTTTGCCTATCCTAGTTATTGCAAGTCATAACAATAGATAAGTGATGAGTTTAGATACTGGACACAAGAGGAGACTAAAGATTTTAAGTAGAAGAAAAAAAATACAAGCATGATGTCAGTTAATACTGGGACTTACAAAATGACACAAAACATTATAACATCAGAAATATTAAAGGAGATCTTTAAAGAATAGAGCCAGAAATTAGTAACTACAATGTCTGCTTCAATGGATAGACTATGTCCAAAAGATGTTAATGAAGGAATGACAGATGTGGAACAAATTTTATCTGACAAGACAGAGGAAGTACCAAAAATGGAACTACAAAAGGCAGGCCAAGAGAATGCTTTGGAAAAGGATACTTTACTGGATATAGAAGAGAAATTGGCTGACGTTTTAAAAATTAAAAAGGAAATACAAATGATAAACCAAGAGAATACAAAATGTTTTATTACTGGATCTACAAAAGAGGCTTGTTAAATCCTTGAAGAAATCTGTGCAATGGGATAAAGAAGAATTGAAGAGAAATCAAATC